GGCCTTCAGTCATGCCCCCTTTCCCTCCCACTCAATGCCTGGGGCAATTGTTTAAAGTCATTTTTGGTCCTGACTTGCTGTCTCACCCATTATCTTCACGTTCCTGGAATTTGTGATACAAAGAACAATGTATAGCCATTCAATCGCTTGTTATTTTTACGTAAAATTCTGGGTAAACAACTCAGGAACTGACTCTTCTTTCCCCTTAAAAATTCACTTGTAACTGCTGCTAATCAGTGTGCGTAATCAGAGCAATTTGAATCTATGGTTCCAGGTTGCAATCCTCAGGGTTGGCCCAAATAAACTCATATTAATCTTGCCTCCACTTCTTTTCAGTCAACAGGGCCAGGGGAAAATTTCCCCTTGGAGTTACACAAACAAAACTCTGACTGCCCTCAAAGAGCCTATAGTCTACAGTGAGAAAGAGGTGCTACTAAACAGTGGGACAAAGGCTGGTGCGGAGGGACTGAGAGGCTTCAGGAGAAGGGTTAGCCAGGTAGAGGAGAATGCCTCCAGGTGAGGTACTGGGTCTATGCAGAGGCAGGAAAAGGAAGTAATAAGAGACTGAATGTAGAACATGAAGAAGAGAAAGAGGTAAAGATAGAGCAAGTGAACTTCATCAAAAGAGATGCAAAGCTATTAAAAGGCTTCAATTTGTTATAGGACTCCAGGTTCAGTAGCCCATTGTGTGGCAACAGACCAATATACCAAAACAGCAGGGGTTGCAACAGAGAAAGAGTTTAATAATCATAGGTCAGCCAAATCAGGAGATGGGGAGAACCTCAAATCTGCCTCCCTGAAGAGTTTTGGTTTGCAACAGAGAAAGAGTTTAATAATCAAAGGTCAGACAAACCAGGAGATGGGAAGAACCTCAAATCTGCCTCCCTGAAAAGTTTTGGTTGAATTTTTAACAGAGTTTTGGTGGGAAGAAGGATAAGGAGCTGTGATCACTCATTGGTTAAGGGGTGGGGGGTGAAATTATAACAATACAGAAACTGTATTCTGTGCCGAGTCAATTCCTCGAAAGGTTTTCAGTCTGGCAGGCATCCTCAGAATTCGGGATCTGGAAAACATCTCGAATTTTAAAACTTGAGTTTTCTTAACATTAAAGATGTTATCTATAGAAACAAGGGAAGTTAGGACCTTGTGACAGGGGCTATGTAACTTTTAAGCATTAAGCAACTGTAAGGAAGTGGGCTAAAGGGCTAGCTGGTTAATGCTTGGCTATGCTTCTATTCAAGTTTATAATTTTGTTAAAGCAATTTTGTTTTATTAATTGTATGAGGATGGTTTCAAATTCAAGGAGTAGACTGAGCATATCTGCACTTCAATAATCCAAAATATTAGTTAAATGTGCCAAATGTTACCAAAGGAATTTCACTCAACTTTTACTAAGAAAGAAATAAAAGGAAGAATAACTTTTCTATTCCCTTTGATTTTTTCCCAACAAGCATATAAAATTTTTACAATCAGTAAAGCTATTTTCATTAAGAAAAAATAGAAAGAAGAGAAAAAAAGAAAAGGAGGGCTGGGTGCAATGACTCACATCTATAATACCAACACTTTGGGAGTTCAAGGCCGGGGGATTGCTTGCGCCTAGGAGCTCAAGACCACCTTGGGCAACATAGGGAGACCCTCATCTCTACAAAAATTTTTGAAAATTATCCAGACATGGTGGCACACACCTGGGGTCCTAGCTACTCAGGAGGCTGGGGTGGGAGGATTGCTTGAGCCCAGAAGGTCAAGGCTGCAGTAAGCCATGGTTATGCCACTCCACTCCAGCCAGGGTGACAGAGCAAGAATCTGTCTCCAAAACAAACAAACAAACAAAAAGAGGAAGCTTCATTAGCATTATGGGTCGGAATCTTAACTTCCAGTTCATTGGAATCTTTGTTGTGTCTCCTTGTGGCAGCATTCCTCCCTCTGGACCCCTAGGCTGGCAGAATGTAATGTCGTGGGAATAGGAAGCAAAAATTTTGCTAGTGGATCATTAGGGGTGATGGTGAATGGTGCCACTTCCACTTCCACTTCTTGATTCCTGGACCCATGAATCCTGGCTATGGGAGAAACCCTACCATGTATTGGATGCTGATTCAGAGCATACACGGCCTTCTGGAGAACTTTACCCCAGATTTGCCAGAATTCTTTGTCTCATGAGCAAGAAAATGAAGGAGCATGTATACCAAGGGTGAGGTTGGAGCAAAAGTTTAACAAGCAAAAAAGAAAAGCTCTTCTCAACAGAGAGGGGACCAAGAGGGTTGTCATTTTACAGTTGAAGGTAAAGGCTGTTATAAACAAGCTAACTGGGGCCAGGCACGGTGGCTCACACCTGTAATCCCAGCACTTTAGGAGGCCGAGGTGGGCGGATCACGAGGTCAGGAGTTCAAGACCAGCCTGGCCAACATGGTGAAACCCCATCTCTACTAAAAAATACAAAAATTAGCTGGGCGTGGTGGTGCCCGCCTGTAGTCCCAGCTACTCAGGAGGCTGAGGCAGGAGAATTGCTTGAACCCAGGAGGTGGAGATTGCGGTGTGCCGAGATTGTGCCACTGCACTCCAGCCTGGCGCCTGGCGACAGAGCAATACTCTATTAAATATTAAAATTAAATTAAAATTATAATTAAATTATTAAATTAAATCAAATTAAATTATTAAATTAAATTAAATTAAATTAATTAAATTAAATTGATTATAATTAAATTATTAAATTAAATTAAATTAAATTAATTAAATTTAAAAAATTAAATTAAATTAAAATATTAAAATAATATTAATATTAAAATTAATATTTTTATTAATTTTAATAATAAAAATATTAAAATTAAAAAATTTTTTAAAATAAGCTAATTTAGCAGGTGTGTCATCTGCATAGGATATGAAAAACTGGTTAGGGTTGGGTGTCTTGTTTGGATAAGGCATGAATTCTTGTTAGTTCCACCCTGTCCTTCTAGTGTGCATGTGGGTCCTTAGCCTGAGTTACTCCATATTCTTTCATTTCCCTTACTTTGCACATGTCAGGAAATGGAATTTTCCACTGCAGACGTGTCTGGTTCTGTGTAACTTTTTTATCTATACAGCTGCAGGCCTGTCTTAGGAAAGCCTCCTTGTGCGAGTTCCCTTATCTGAGCATGCCCCAAAAGGAAAAGAATGTGCTCACTGAAGCCCACTGTGTATAGCTGGAGCTCACTGGTTGCATAAGAGATAAAGATGCTGGACCTTGCTTCCTCATCTGCGCTTGCAGCTTGATTTCTTCCAGGTTGCTCTTTTGATAGAAGGACTCCTACCTAACTTGTCCTAACTATTTGCCTAACCAGTACCTTCCTCTGTCTTCCCTCAAAATGACCATGTTTAATGTGACTCAAAAGTGACCAAAAAACTCTTTCATTATGCTTCCTCCTGCTTGAGTTTGCAAGATGATAAAACTGCCTTTGCAAAAATTATAATTGAGAAAATGATTACAGTGAGAGAGCTGACCTAACTGACTCCATCTTGCCCCTGGCCTCCAAGCTGTCCCTGTCCATTCTTGGGCATAGGCCAAACTAACTTTGGGAAGAACTTAGTTCATGGTTTAGCTTTGAAACAAAAATGATAACAGCCATTTCCCAAAACCAACCCCCTCTGTCTAGGGACTAGACCACCTTCGCAGGACTAACAAGTTAGCCACAAGATAAGAAATTATGATTAAGAAGTCATGCAGCTGGAGGCTACAAGATTCTAAACGTCCCCAAATTGCCCCTGGGAATAACATCACTAGTGTGAAACCTAAGATCAGTGTTTGAGATATTTTACAGACCCTGCACTTGATGGATCAGCTGGTACCAGCCAGATAGATAAACCCACTCAGCTGGTCTTGTAGCCACCCACCAGGAACTGACTCAGCACAAGAGGACAGCTTCAACTCCTAAGATTTCATCTCCCATCTGACTAATCAGAACCTCGGATTCGCTGCCCCCTACCCACTCACCAAATTATCATTAAAAACTCCTGTCCCCAGATTCTCAGGGAGATTGATTGGAGTAATAATTAAAACTTCAGTCACCCACACAGCCAGCTCTTTCTCTATCGTAATTCACCTGTCTTGATTGGCTCTGCCTAGGAAGCAGGCAAGGTGAACCCGTTGGGCGGTTACAATTACACTTAAGGTTGTTCTGTTGGTTTGTTTGTTTAAGTATGAAAAACATTGCTTTGTTTTTTTGTTTCAGAATCTTTGAGTCCATGTGGAAGAAGAAAGGAGAGAAGACTTTTTCTGGGATGGAAAGGAAGCCTTGCTTTCTCTTTGGGTGGATTACAGGAATTGGCTGAATTCTCCCTGCCCTGGAGAAAAATAAATCTATTTTTTATGGTAAAGATTTAGGCTCTTCCTGAGGGATACTATGAGAGAAAATTAAGGAAGCGAGCTTTTATTTTGAAAATAAAAAGTATTGGGAGGCCGAGGCAGGTGGATCACGAGGTCAAGAGATCGAGACCATCCTGGTCAACATGGTGAAACCCCGTCTCTACTAAAAATACAAAAAATTAGCTGGGCATGGTGGCGCGTGCTTGTAATCCCAGCTACTCAGGAGGCTGAGGCAGGAGAATTGCCTGAACCCAGGAGGCGGAGGTTGCGGTGAGCCGAGATCGTGCCATTGCACTCCAGCCTGGGTAACAAGAGTGAAACTCTGTCTCAAAAAAAAAAAAGGAAAATAAAAAGTAAGCAACACACTACAGGGTGTAAAGTTGATAAGAGGGTGGAAAGGAGTAGATGAAGAGGGAGGAGAAACAAACTGGGCAAAGGGGAACTGGTCAAGAGAAAGAACACTCTACAGGACCTTGAAATGAGTGAATAAAATGTATTACACCTTTTTGCCCCTAAAATATCTACTAATCCCTAGAAGCTCGGAGTGTCACCTTGTAGTGCAAAGGGTTGTTGCAGATGCCATTGAATTAAAGATCCTGAGTTAGGAAGATTATCCCGAATTACCGGTGTGGGTCCAACGGAACCATAGCTTTCCTTCTAGGAGGGAGGCAGAACGTGGATGTAAACAGAAAAGGAGAATGCCTTACCTTACCCATCTTCTACATGTTAGCCTGTAACTTGACAGTATCATAAAGAAACTGACTTTAAATCAACTTGAGTTATGTTTCCAGAGCTTGAGGACCCTTTGAAACTGCTCTTCCAAAATTACGACAGTGAGAGAAATCGGACATGGCTGACTCCATCGTGCTTCTAGCCATAGGCTGGCTGTCTTTGCTCATTCCTGGGTGTGGGTCAAGCTAACTTTTGGAGAAATTTAGTTTATAGTTTAAATAATAATAGCCCTTACAAAAAACTAAACTGTTCTCATAAAACTAATGAAAGGCTACCAAGTTAGGAGGATGAGAGGGGCTTGAATTCTTTTATTTATTTATTTATTTTTGAGATGGAGTTCCACTCTTGTCACCCAGGCCGGAGTAACAAGAAACACTTGATCTTGGCTCACTGCTACCCCCACCTCCCAGGTTCAAGTGATTCTCCTGCCTCAATCTCCCAAGTAGATGGGATTACAGGCACCTGCCACCATACCTGGCTAATTTTTTGTATTTTTAGTAGAGACAGTGTTTCATCATGTTGGCCAGGCTGGTCTCAAACTCCTGGCCTCAGGTAATCCACCCACCTCAGCCTTCCAAAGTGCTGGAATTACAGGTTTGAGACACTGTGCCCAGCCAGGTTTTTGTATTTCTGACAGTGGATGGTCCCACCTGGACCCACCAGCCAGTCCTATGGCTCCCACCCAGGAACTGACTTAACATAAAAGGACAGCTTTGATTATCTGTGATTTCATCGCTGACCCAACCAATCAGTATACCCCTGCCTCTAGCCCCCAGTCACCAAAGGATTTTTGAAAAACCCTAACCTCCCAGCTACTGGGGAGACTGACTTGAGTAGTATATCTTTTCTTTTTTTTTTTTTTTGAGACAGGGTCTTACAATCAGGTTTTCTGGGGTGTTGGTGAGACACAGCTCCCCCGGGAGGATGCTGTAGGTTCTTGGTCTCTGATCTCTTAAGAATAAGAGAAGGGACCACTGCAGGTGCACTGTATGCTAGTAAAAGTAAATATCGGACCCAAGAAGTGTTGCAGAAAGGTGATTTTATTTAGGTAGAGAAAAGAGAAGAAAAGGAGAAGAAGAGAAAGACTTTCATGAAGAGTGTGGAAGGGGATTTCAGAGGGGAAATCCAAGAGGGGAAAGAGAGCTCCCACTACATGGGAGGGGATTCCACAGAGCTGGAAATCCAGTGTGGGTGAAGAAGCAGGGGAATTTATCCTGGGAGAAATTCCCATCTTCCCAAGTTCCTCTGGCCAATGAAAGGAGTTCCTTTAAACTTCCACTGGGGTGATTGACTCTTAGTTTCTTCCCATGCCCACAAAATTCAAACATAAACCATTAAATCTGGATGGAGAGAGATGGGAGGGGGCATGGCGCTTGGAAGTTCTTTGCACTTAAAATTATGACCTCTCGTGGACCCAGAAAGAGAACACATTCCCTCAGTCTGACACCCAGGCTGAAGTGCAGTCGCAATATCTTGGCTCACTACAGCCTCTGCCTCCCAGGCTCAAGCAATCCTCCTACCTTAGCCTCCTGAGTAGCTGGGACTACAGGTGTGTACTGTGGCACCTGGCTAATTTTTGTATTTTTAGTAGAAAAAGGGTTTCACCATGTTGCCCAGGCTGGTCTTGATCTCCTGGGCTCAAGCAATCTTCCCGCCAAGGCTTCGAAAGTGCTGGGATTACAGTCATGAGTCACTGTACCCAGCCTTGAGTAATGACTCCATTTCCCACATGGTGTGGCTGGCCTAGCATCAATTAAACTCTTAACTGTGATGGTCTCAGTGAGTCGACTTTGTGCAGCGGGCAGAAAGAACCCGCTGGGCATTTACACCTTCAGTGGCTTTGTTGGACATGAAAAGGGCATGCCAACAGCTCTCTATCTGATTTCCAAGTTTTAGATACTTTTTCTCTAAATATTAGAGAAGCATTGCAATCAGGTAAGCCACATGCTTTGTTGTCGTTTTTGGTTTTGGTTTTGTTTTTTTTGAGATGGAGTCTTGCTCTGTTGCCTAGGCTGGAGTGCAATGGCATGATCTTGGCTCACTGCAATCTCTGCCTCCCAGGTTCAAGTGATTCTCCCACCTCAGAATCCCAAGTAGCTGGGATTACTGGCACCGCCATCATGCCAGGCTAATTTTTTGCATTTTTGTAGAGATGGGGTTTCACCATGTTGGCCAGCCTGGTCTCAAACTCCTGACCCCAGGTGATCTGCCAGCCTCGGGCTCCAAAAGTGCTGAGATTACAGGCGTGAGTCACGGCACCCAGCCCTAGGCCACATGTTGATTGCACCACTGCAATCTAGACTGGGCAATAAAGTTGGACTCCTGACTCCTTTAAAAAAAAATTCTTTTAGTAAAAAAAAAAAATAGAAAACCACATGTTAACAAAATGTTTTCTTTAAACAGTTTGCCTCCTAAAAGATTTCAGCAGAAGCTTGTATAGTGGGAATGCTTGGTAAGAAAGAATACTTTTTTTCTGGCTAGAGAATGGTATTTTAAAGCTTAGATTTTACGAAGTGAGAAAGAAAGCCATGGGAGAGTTTGAGCAGGGCAGTGAGGTGATCTGAGTATGTTTTAAAAGGACCTCTCTGGCTTTGTGTGAAGACGAGACTCTGGGAGCAAGAGGGGAAGCTGCCAGATCTGTAGTCCTGGCAGGAAGCTGATAGCACACCCAGGGCAGGAGTGGAGAAGAGATGAGAACTATTGGAACTTCATCTACTTCAACATCATTTACTTCAACAGTGGAGACAAATAGATCTGCTGATGTATTTGCTGTAATTAAGCAAATGTAAGGCAAATGTCTCCACTTTGTTTTTTTTGATGGAGATGTTAAATAATGAAGGTTGGGCCAGGTGTGGTGGCTCATGCCTGTAATCCTAGCACTTTGGGAGGCCGAGGTGGGTTGATCACCTGAGATCAGAGTTCAAGACCAGCCTGGCCATCATGGTGAAACCCCATCTTTAAAAATAATAATAATAATAATGAAGGCTGTTTCCTTGGAATGTGTGTATCTCTGAGGCTTGGAGAAAAAGAGGAGCAAGATACCAATGGAAGTATAACCAGCAGGCGTAGCACAAGCTGGGGGCTAAGAAATTGTCCGGCCATAGGTTACAATCTACATTAGGCTTAGCCAACAAACTTCTTAATTTCCTACTTTGCTGCTAACTTGTGGTTGCTGAATAGTCCTTTATTTCATTTGCTGGTTCTCAGTTCTTTTTTTTATTATTATTTTATTTTTTTTAGATGGAGTCTCATCCTGTCGCCCAGGCTGGAGTGCAACGGTATGATCTCAGCTCACTGCAACCTCCACCTCCCAGGTTGAAGAGATTCTCCTGCCTCAGCCTCCTGAGCATCTGGGTGTTAGAGATGAATAAATACTTGTTCATTGGTGCTCCAACAAAGAATTTTCTCAGCAAGGCAATTTACTTCTTTAGAAGGGTGCATCTCACAGATGGAGCAATGGCGAGAGCACAACTGAACAGGGGAGGAAAGGGGTTCTCATCCCTAAGGCAGGTAGCCCCTACTGCTGTGTATTCCCCTATTGGCTAGGGTTGGACCACACAGTCTAAGCTAATTCCAGTTGCCTATTTTAAAGGTAGCAGGGATATGAGCAGAGATAGAGTGGCGAAGAGAGCAGTTTGGCAGGAAGGACAGTTACAGAACAGGTAACTAAAGGTGACTCAGGTCAGAGAAGGTGACCAGGATGAGTCAGGATGGAGCAGGTGACCAGGGCTGACTCAGGTCACAGCAGGTGACCAGGGGAACAGATGTGAACTACTTATTAGAACTGGCAGGAAAGTTGTTTACTGAAACTAGAGGCAAGGGGGCAAAGAGAATCAGGAAGTTAAACTTTAAAATGGAGAACAAAGAATAAGAGAGCTGAACATACTTACATACTGATTCTTTGACGATAAACCTGGAGCTCACTATATTTTACACTGGGATTATAGGTATGCGCCACCATGCCTGGCTAATTTTTTGTATCTTTAGTACAGACAGGGTTTCACCATGTTGGCCAGGCTGGTCTTGAACTCTTGACCTTTCGATCCACCTGACTTGGCCTCTCAAACTGCAGGGATTACAGGTGTGAGTCACCACACCTGGCGGGTTCTCAGTTCTCATAAGACCTTCTCATCCTCACTCTCCACATTGCCTATCCAGGCCATAATTACGTAACAGACAAGTCTCAGTATTCACACACTTGCGTAATTGTAATCCTCTCCCACATAAACTAGGACTGACCTATAAAAGGATATTGTCTATACAAAGAGAGACCTATATAAGGATAATGATAGAATGACTGATGTAAGAATATAAGGAATGCGTCTTTAAAGACTAAGTCAGAAAAGATATTTTGGCTTCTGGCTTGCTGTTTCCTGGATCACTTGCTTTGGGGGTACCAGAAGACATACCTGGGATGTACGCAGGCAGCCTTATGATGAGTTCTATGTGTACATGATAAGGAGCTGACGCCTTCTGCAAGTAGCCAGCATCAACTCACCAAGCACATGAGTAAACCTCCCTGGAGGCAGATTCTTCAGCCCCAGTCAAGCCTTCAGATGACTGTACCTCAGCCAAATCTAGACCATCATATCACAAGAGATCCTGAGCTTGTAGCACCCACCTAAGCCACTCCCAAATTTCTGATTCGCAGAAACTGTGTGAGATAACAAATATTTATCATTGTTGCATGTTGCAGCAACAGATAATCAATACACCACTTATTTCCTTTGCTACCTCTGCTTTCTTCAGAGTCAAGGTAGAGGGGAAAGAATTAGAGAAGATAGAACTAAGAACCTACTTAATCCATGCCATTATAATCCTGTTGGTGGTGCAGCCCAAATACTGGCTCTCTTACTGAGATGCAGGTTACAAGTACTTTGAGAGTTCTTTTTCTTTTTTTTTGAGACAGTCTTGATCTGTCACCCAGGCTGGAGTGCAGTGGCATGATCCTGGCTCACTGCAACCTCCTCCTCCTGGGTTCAAGCAATTCTCATGCCTCAGCCTCCTACGTCGCTGGGATTACAGGCACATGCCATCACATCCAGCTAATTTTTGTGTGTTTTTTTAGAAGAGACTGGGTTTCACCATGTTGGCCAGGCTGGTCTCGAACTCCTGGCCTCAAATGATCCACTCACCTCCACCTCCCAAAGTGCTGGGATTACAAGTGTGAGCCACTGTGCCTGGCCTCTTTGAGAGGTTCTTGCTTGAACTCTGACATGGGCTGAACACTGCCTGGCTGTACTCTAGTAATGCCTTTCCCCCAAGCCCTGGCAACTGCCTCCGATGGCGTGACTCACAGTCTCCTATTTCTGAGGTCCTTTCACCCTAGCAGGCTCCCCGCTGGGATAGTCTACATATAAGAATACCAAAACCGAGACATCATTCCCCATCCAATTAACTAACAGGAAACACATGTAAGCTTGCAGTAAAAGATGGTGGATATATAGGCTGCCAGCCCCTCTATTACCTTCTGTCTTTCAGAGGAAAAGGAGGCACCAATTTCTAGGCTCATGGACACTCCTAGATTCCAGAGCACACATACCAAACTTTTCCAAGAACCCTCTCACCCTGCTATACTCCAGTGACTTCTCCAGGATGGTTCCATGAGCAGTTCATTATACATCCAGCAGGGGAGAGAAATGTCTATTTCATTTGTTTTTGGAAGTACCTCTAATCTTTCTAAATAATCTCGTTGAAGCCCTCTTCTGGTGTGATGTGGGGAAAGAAATCCCCAGAGGCTGGCTCACGCCTGTAATCCCAGCATTTTGGGAGGCCAAGGTGGGCGGATCACCTGAGATCAGGAGTTCAAGATCAGCCTGACCAATGTTGAGAAACCCTATCTCTACTAAAAATTTTCAAAAACATTAGTCAGGCATGGTGGCACATGCCTGTAGTCCCCGCTACTCAGGAGGCTGAGGCAGGAGAATTGCTTAAACCCGGGAGGCAGAGGTTTTAGTAGGCCAAGACCGCACCATTGCACTCCAGCCTGGGTGACAAGAGCAAAACTCCACCTCAAAAAGAAAAATGTGAATTCACATTCCAACCAGTGCCCAAGAATATATTAAGAGTATTGGAGAAGTACAATTGTCACAGAAATACAACCGGCCTTCTAAAGGCAAAGGAGACTCCAGCTCTAAGTTCAGCTCCTACAAACTGTCCACACAGACAGCCCCTGGGGGTTTCTGGGTTTTTTTGTTTGGCTGGTTTTTTGTTGGTTTTTTGTTTTTCGTTTTTTTGAGACAGAGTCTCACTCTGTCACCCAGGCTGGAGTGCAGT